CCCCGCCACGCTCCCAAGCGGCGCACTCTCCAGTGCGCCACCGGGCCGGCCCCTAGATGAAATATTTTTTAAGTGTAAAGTAAAAAGCTGTGCTGACATGGGAAAGGGACATTTCCGGATGCCAGAAACCAAAAACCTCAGCATCATAGCAGAAGATGAGGCCACAAGCCCAGGCCAGATGTGCGCTTTGTGGCTGGTGTTTTAACACCTGCATGGGGACACTGGCTCTGTGGGGCTCTGAGATGGGAAACTGTGCTCCTTATGAAAAGCTAAGACAAGGCAAATTTGTTACAGATGCGGGATCTGAACTTTATTTCCACCTTCAAAATGGGAAGCCCAGCACTAGGAATTAACATAAAAATTGGTCTGGAACACAGAGCTGTAACAGGCCTCCACAGAGGCAACCAAAACCAAACCACTGTCCAAATAGAAATCCCACCGAACACCAGTGCTACAAACAAAAACTCAGAGCACTCAAGGTCGTTCAAGGGATCCACCCAGGGAAGGAGTGTGGCTCTAAAGCATGACATCACTTTCCAGAACAGTCGCCCACCTGCCCACGTTATGGGTTGCCATGATGTGGAGCACCTCGGTGGTCTTTATCCGCACCATGTGGTCACTGTCTTTCAGCAAAGCTTTCAGACTCTCCAGGCAGCCTACAAGGCAAAAACAAAACTTTGAATGTTTGCTGGTCTCATAAACTAGCTAACCCAGAAGTCAACAGGTGACCCAATGTTGGGCAACAAGAAAGTACCAGAGGTTCTGCTGCTTTGGGGCATCATGTCAGTTACACAGCATTTCAGTCACTGAAGGGGCTCACACCCAGGGACCATCCCATCTAATCCTCCTCAAGATTCTCCCTGCACACTTCCTGCCAGTGCCATCTCTCAAAGTCTGCCACGGGGTTAAGAAAATGGCCTTTGCCATCTGTTTGGCTCCAGGAAAGACATGAGGTTAAATTATAACCCTGTCCCAAACTAGCCACATGACCTTGAGTGGGTTACACCTAGGCATGCCAGACTTAGCAGATAAAAATCTTGCTTGAATTATTTATCGGGCAACCCTAGACTCATGCCCATTCTCTGAGCGTTAGTTCTCTTATCTTGTCGGTTGAGGATGCTCCCTCCTTTGCAGGTGGCTGTTGTAAGGACCAAGAGAACAGGGGCACTGCACATGGGATGGTCCTAGCCCAAGTTGAGCTCATTAAATAGCAACCCTTATTACTGAAGTTCCACCCACTGTCTGAAGCCACGCTAGGACCTCAATCACGATCACCCAGGCTATGACACTCTCACCTATGTTGATGGCCTCGTAGACATACTCAGGGTCATGCATGAGGTCACACAAGGCCATGAGGGCTTTCTGCCTCGTCTCCAGGTCCTCTGACTGCAGCTCCTCATTCAGCTTGGGCAGGGCCCGACAGCCATAAGCAATGGCAGCCTGGGTGGGGTTGATGTCAGGGGGCATGTACATGGAGATCCGGGCATGGGCCATCTTTCCACTCCTGCAAAGGGCTTGCAAAACGAAGCTCTGCAGAAACCACTGATCAACAAAACCAAAAAGCTGTCGTTATTACTATTGGGATGTATAAGCTACTTATCATCTGATCCTCAAAACTGTGAGGGGAGGTGGGTGGGTATTTTTACTTCCATTTTACAGATAAGCGAACTGAGTCTAAGAGCAATGAAGAGATTTGCTCAAGGTAACAGTGAAAGTAAATAGCAGCCCAAACTGCAAACTCTAGAGCTCTCTCATGCAGTAGTGCTTAAGGACAGAAGATTCTACTGACACTTTACAGACTGAGTCTTCAGTGAAAGGAACTGAAAGGACAAAACTAACCAAACAAACACCAAGATAGTCACTCCATCTTGTGCCAGCAATAACTACTATCTAACTCTACCCCATAAGGAGGGAACTTGTGTTATCCATATTTTAAAAATGAGGAAACTGAGGTTCAGGCCAAGGAGCTTGCTGGAGGTCATAGAACTAGTAAGGCTAGGAGTCATTGTTCAAATCCAGATCTAGCTCATTTCCCCATCAGGGACCCATATTCAAAGGAAATGGAAAAGGAATTAAGATTAAAAAGTGATTTCTGTTTATTCCACACACAGGAACTCTGAGCAACTATAGGCAGTGTGGCTTAGTAGTTGAGAACCGACTCCAGCCCCAAGTTACTTCCCCTGTCTGTGTCTTTCTGCAGCTGCAAAGGGGAGGTGATAATAGTACCTCCTTCCCTCCCTCCCAGAGTTGTCATGATACACATGAGCCTGTCACAGCAGAGCTCCAGATATATTGGCTGCGGTTATTATGGCTGTTATCGCATTTAGTCGCATGGACAGGCCCGGGTCCTACAGGAATCTCCTCCAGTAAAAGGTGAGCTGGACTCTGATACCGTGCACCAGATCACAGGCGGAGAATAAGGGGCCTGGCTGAGAGGGACGCAACCATATCTGATTGGCCTTCCCTTGCAAGGAATCGTAGGCTCTGGGGACAGGGCCTGCCCTCCTCTAAACGGCATGGGCTGCGGGAGTCGGGCCACGGATGAGAGGGCGTGACTTGGGGTGTGGGGACACGGGCCCCGTGTGAGCAGGGCTGGGTGGGTCTGGGGGACCCCTGTCCCCGCCCCTGTCCCGCCGCTGCCGCCTCACCTGCCTCAGCAGTCTCTCGGCGCCAGTAGCTAGCGCCCGTTGCCAGGCGACCCTGTTGCCAGGCGACCCAGGCAGCGTCTGCAGCGCAGCGCTCAGCACACTGGCACCCACCGCGCAGGCGCGAACAGCCCCGGGCTGGGGCCCGCTGCAAGTGAGAACAATGATACTTTACAGGCTTACTGTGGGGTCAAAGACGGCTCAGCTTTGTTCAAGGTACGGCTTTGTTCAAGGTACAGAAAGCGTCCTTTCTCTGTACTGGACACTTTGCATGCCTTTGATGCTTAGAGTAAATCCATGGTGTGGTAATAGAATCCAGTTTAGGGATAAGAATCTCAAGAGAGGTTCAGTAGCTTCCCCCACATCACACAGGCCTGAACCCGGGACTGCCTAGCTTTGGCCCACGCTCCTTGCTCTGTAGGCTGAATGCCTGGTAATAACAAAGATTGGCCCCTGCAGTGGACCCAACACACTGCTGGCTAGAGTCAAAAGCAAGCCAGACCCAGCCACCACCTGCATAAAACCCTGCCATAGCTCCCCCCTGGTCTCAGGCCTGAGTCCAAACTCCCAGCCTGCTGCTCAAGTCCCCAGCTGATGGTCTCCTCCAGCCATGCTGGATTTTCTCAATTCCCAAAATGGCCAGCTCTCTCCCACAGCTTGAGGTACTCGTAACAGAACTACCTCTTTGTCCTTCAGGACACAACTTGGTGGACACTTCTTCCATGAAGGCTTCCTTCTCCCCAAATCCGACTTAGTAAGTGATGCCATGGCTTAATTATCCATTGGCACACTCCCTTCCCCTAATTCTCTATTTATTTTGGTTTCCCCCAGCAGACTCCAGCTTCCCTGAGGGGAGAGACCAGTTCTGTTTCCTTGCCTCCCCAGTGTCAGGCATACACCAGAAGGCTTTCAGTAAGCATAGAACAAATGAATAGTAGGGGACTTGAATCAAGCTTTACAATCTAAAAGTTCTTTCACTAACTCATGTGATCCTCACAACAAACCCTTGAAGAAGATAGTCAGGTCCATGGGCAGGAGGTAGAACAACTCACCTAAGTTCCCCACCTAAGCCTGAAACTCATTTAGAAGACATCAAACATCAGACTCCAGCACATTTAGCTTTAAATGCTTTTTATTTATTTATTTTTTTTTTTATGATTGACTTAGATCTGCATACCAAGGATCCCATATGGTGATGCAGAGACCTGCCCCCTACCACTGTCCTTAAAGGAACAAGTCCTGAAGGGTCTCACTAACCAGAGCATCCTAGCTTTTTAGGAAGGTGGTGTGAAGAGCACTTGGCTGGAAGTCGTGAAACCTGGGTTCCAATTCTAGTTACAACTCAGAAGGCAAATCCTTTTGGATATATGAGCCTTAGTTTCCTTGTCTGTGAAGTAAGGAAGCTGAATCAAGTAGGTTCTCAAAGCTAGGAACTCCGGACCTCTCTGAATCTGGTCACACAGTTTCATAAGGGCCTCTTGGGGGCATCTACCCCACACACCTCACTTTCCAAACAGGAACTAGCTCACTGAGCTCTGTGACTCAGGTCAGCTTTTTAATAGCCATCAATTAAGGACATTAATTTTGTAGCATGAACTCTAAAAGCCAGGCATATGGTATTTAGACAACATTGGATTCAGAACTATGCAGATTGAGGTCAGTAGACATGTCCATCCCTTGCCACTGCAGAATGCTTGACTCCAATCCAAACACCAATACTACAGTGATAGAGTTTGGATGTGCTGTCCCCACCAAAACTCACGTGGAAACCTGATCCCCAACGTGACAGTGCTGGAAGCTGTTTGAGCCATGAGGGCAGACCCCTCATGAATGGATTAATGCTCTCCCTAGGTGGGGGGATTAATGAATGAGTTCTGACTCTATTAGTTCCCGGGAGAGCTGGTTGTTTAAAAGACCCAGGCACCTCCTCTCTCTCTCTTGCTTCCTCTCACCATGTGATCTGCTTGTACCCGCTGGCTGCCTGCTGCTTTCCGCCATGAGTAGAAGCAGCCTCAGGTCCATGCCAGATGCAGCTGTCCCAGAATCATAAGCCAGATAAACCTCTATTCTTTATAAATTACCCAGTTTCAGGTATTTCTTTTATAGCAACACAAACGGACTAAGACATACAGCAACAGCTCTTTTGCCATGATTGTCACCACCCCTCCCAGCAGAGTTGATCGCCAGAGCCGGCCGCGTGAGAAAAACTCTCCTGTGTCAGCCCCACCCAGAACCCAAGCTCCACTCTCTAGGCGCCCTGGCCTCGCCCAACCCCCCATCCAACACTGCCCTTGTTGCCATGGTGATCCTCGGTGATCCAGATGCGTCCTGGAGTCTCCACTGGCAGCCCCGGCCAGACTCCGTGGAGGCTGTCGTTGCTATGGTGATCACCTATGCAGGCTGCTTGCGGGACTCTTTCCGCTGTCAGGCCCGCCCAAACGCCGCCTCCGCGTCAGGGATTTGTCAGACGCCCGCAGGTCTCTCGTGGCCTCGTTGTCATGGTGATCGAGGCCGCGGGCCCGGCCAGACCAGGCGGCTCCAAGTCCCGTCTTCACAGCCACCTCGGGTGAGTCCCCCGCTCCCTCTGTCCGACCCCCGTACGAGCACGTCCCCGAGGCCGGGGTCACGAGAGCGCTGCGTCTCCCGCCCACCTAACACCCCCATAACCCGAACGCAGCCTACGGCCCCGCCCCGGGTCCTCTTCATTTCCTAAGCACCCACCCTGGGCCTGGGCCGGTCTGTGCTGGTAGGAGAGCGGGGTCAGATGGGGGAAGACAAGTACAGGACTTGGTGGAGAGACAGGGCTGGACAACAAAGGAGATGGAAGACTGTTGAATAGGCTTAAGGGGCCAAATGCTGGGTGGGGTGGGGCTTTATTGGGAAAGGCCTGAAACCTAAAGACCCCGGCCCACCAGAGCCTTCATCTCTTAGAGACTAGGAGCAGGGAACCCCCTCCCCACTCTACCACCACGACCTGGGCTGTGATCTGCAGCCTGGTGTCTGTACAGTGCCTCACAACCCTGTGAGGGAAGCTCAGAGAAGGGGCCCCTCCTCTTAGACACCTGTCAGAGGTCTTCTGACTGCCAGGCAGGGTGGGGCAGGCCAGTCCCCCACACCATACTGCCTGCAGACTGGGAGAGATGGCCTGACTTCCTGTGTCCAGAAGGCCTCTACCCGCTGTTCCTCATGGAGAGGGAGGCTTGAAGTTGGTCCTAAAACTGAAGAAAATTTAGGCAGAGACTTGCGAGTAGTCCCCAGGGATTTGCACAGCTCCCTAACTCTCTTTCCCTTGGTTGGGTCCACAGGACTGTGGAAGGATGAGGTCCTCCCTGATGCCTTTGGGGCCCCCTGTGAGCCGGGACCGCGTCATCGCCAGCTTCCCTAAGGTAGTCATCAGGCCATTCTTTTTTATCTGAACTGCTCTCCTGACACTATGGCCACATCCAGCTTTCCCCAATCTGCACTCATCCCCAGAAATAAAGCAGGTGAATCGGAGAAGTCTGTCCCTTCCTGGATTTACCAGACTTCTCCTTGAGAAGCCAAGAGACTGGGCATTGACTTTCCCGAGGCAGGCCAGCAAGTTAATGGTGATGCCAAGCAGCAGTGTGGCCTGAGGTTATAAGGACACAAACTTTGCAGTCAGACAGTCCTGGGTGTGAATCCTGACTCTGTCATTAAGCTGTGGGACCATGGGCAAATTACTCAACCTCTCAGAGCCACTGTTACATGAGAATAATTCCTCTTACATTGGGTGCCTGGCTCATGGTAAATGGGAGCTCCCTGGCAGTCGGGAAACAGCACTCCAGTTTCTTGACCCCAAATCTGGGGCTCTCTCCCCTTGCCATTCTTCAGTTTTTGCTGAAAACTCACAGCTGTCTTCCATCTCTATTAAAATCCAATATTAATTGCTGAAGAGAATGCAAATCACAACAACCTCCACAGGAGGCAGTGGGACAATATTTACCAACATTGCAGATACCCCTCCCCTCTGACTCAGCCATTCCATTTCTAGGAGTTTACTCTGCAAACATCCTGGCACGGGTGTAAAATGTGCCCAAGGCCAGGCATTGCAGCAGTTAGTAAGAGCAGAAGGGCTGGTGGGTGAGCTTAGATGGTTAGAGAGCGATGTTATAACACCAAGGTCAAGGGTTTGAATCCCTGTACGAGGCCAGCCGCAAGAAAAAAAGAAAAAAAAAATAGTAAGAGCAGAAGGTCAGACACAATGTAAATGTCCTCCTAGAGGGGACTGGTTAAACAGGTAATGCAACTTCCTGGCACAGCCCTGATGGACCTCTTCAGGTGCTGATGTTCAGTGGGAGCCCAAGGAAGTTGGTGAGTAAAAATGCAAGGAATGGAGCATTGTGAGTGTGTGTAGCACTCTCCTGCAGGTATAAAAAAAGGAAAAGGAGAAAAGCAATGTCAGTGTTTGTATATACAGGCAGAAAATATTTCTGGAAGGATACATAAGACCTGCTACCAGTGGTTGCCTACATGTGACTTGGGACAGGCATGGAGTGAGAAATCCCCTCCAGGGAATGGCCTTTTCTATCTTCTGGATTCTGTGCCCAGGCTGGTGAGGAGGAAGGAGGTGACTGTAAGCTCTGGGTATTTTGGGCCTACAGCCATTCCTTCTTCCCCCTTCTTTCCCTTCCTCCCTAAGTTCCTTCTCCACATGCCCACAGAGAAAGCCTTTGTGCCTGTACCTGTGGACAGTTCTCCCAAGTGTTCCACCGCAACAGAGGCTCAGGCAATTGCTTTCCCTGCAGAGCTTGACAGTAGTAACCAGGGATGACGGGGACTGGTGTTTCATGAGCCAAAAGGAAGGGAAACGTGATTGTCACAGAACAGTCCAGGTCTCATGGGACGAAGAACTCCTTTTACAGAGCAGGACAAGAAAGATCAGAGAGGTAGGGAGGATTGCCTGACTTCACACAGCTGGGCATGGTGGAGCTGGGATTCGACCCTGCTTTGTCTGGCTTCAGACCTCCCTACCCCTAGGAGGCAGCCTGGAGCATGCATCATGTTTTCACAGAAATTGAGATTCTCCCCTTTCTACCTGCAGTAGTAGTCAGGTGTCACAAGCCACTGCTGGCCAGGTTCATCCTGCAGGGCCACACCACTTCAGACCTGAGAAATTCATGGTCAGGTTGGGCTCGGTCCACAAAGTACTGCCTGGGCAAGTGTTTTAGTCCATTTTGTGTTGCTATAACAGAAATACCTGAGACTGGGTAATTTATAAGGAAAAGAGGTTTATTTGGCTTACAATTCTGGGACAGCTGCATCTGGCATGGGCCTCAGGCTGCTTCTACTCATGGTGGAAAAGCAGCAGGCAGCTGGCGGGTACAAGCAGATCACATGGCAAGAAGAAGCAAGAGAGAGAAGCAAGAGGTGCCAGGGTCCTATAAACAATAAGCTCTCGTGGGAACTAATAGAGCGAGAACTCACTCATTACTTCCCCCGCCCCCAGGGAGATCATTAATCCATTCATAAAGGATCTGCCCCCATGACTCAATCAGTTTCCAACACTGCCACATTGGGGATCAAATTTCCACATGAGTTTTGGAGGGGACGCTACATCCAAACTCCATCAGCAAGTCCTTCCCTTTACTCCATGTGCCTCAGTTTCCCTATCTCTAAAATCAGCTCACATTTCCTACCCTGTGGACTTCCTTGCCACACTTCTCCAGTCAGTCCAAAATGGTGAGATTTCTCTAATGACCACTGTGTCCGGGCCAGCCCCCAGCTTGAAGCTGTCATGGAAGTCAACAGGAAAAATCAGCCAGCTTTTCATGAGGGGGCTAGTGCTCTTCTGCACAAATGTGGACCACTGCTCTAAGCTGTTCCCCTGCATCACTCAGTTACTCCTCCAGTGACCACATGAAAAGGTGCTATTATGAGCATCCCCACTTTACAGGTGAGGAACCAGGGCTCAGTAAGGTTTTGCGACTTGCCCTTTCCAAAGCTCTGCCCACCATCCCTGCTGCCTCAATCACAGCTGGAGCTGAGAGGGCAGGTGGGCCAGGCCAGAGCCCACATCACTGCCTGAAAACCCAGAAGAGACATGACGTCAGGGGGAAGGGAGCTGTGGACCCAGGCTTTGCCTGGAGCATCAGAGCTGGTGGCCAGGGGGACCATTACCATACACAGGAGAGTACACCAGCAGCCTCCAATAGTGCCCTGTTCCCCGTGTCCTAGCCATGTTCCATACTTCTTAGCCTTGGCCAATCCAGTGGCAAAAAATAATGGTCATCTTTAGTTTGTTTAATATCATTTTTTTCTAGTTACAAAACAAATGAGGATTTAACATGTGTCATCACATCTTAATAGCCATGAACATTTATATGTATGCATATTTTTAAAACAAATCCACAGAAGGTATGGGAGGATCTTGGAGCCAAAAGGGGTCTCACAGCCCATGCTACATTACACCGTGAGAGAGCTGAGGCCCATAGAAGGCAGAAGCCTGTCACATGCATGCAGCACAGGGATAGCCACCCCAGTTGAAACCCAGCTCTCTGAGTCCGTACCTGAACTCTGATCTGACCTGACCACCACCGCTCCTCTGTCTCACAAGACCCTACAGCCTTGAGGCTGAGGAGATAGAGGACAGACCCAGCAGAGGGGTCAGAGCAGGGTAAGCTAATGAGGCTGCCAGCCGCGAGGCTCAGAAGGGAGGGAATGCTGGGAAGGAAGTCACCATCTCCCTGCTTGGCTCAGATGATGGAACTGCAGCTTTGCAGGATGATGTGTCCATCTGTCTGTCTGTCCCTTTGCAGTGGTACACGCCTGATGCCTGCCTGCAGTTCAAGGAGCATTTCCATGGGCAGGTCAGCGCAGCCTGCCAGCACAGGACCACGGGCACTGTCGGGTGAGCCCGTAGGGTGCAGGATGTGGGGGGAAGGAATGCATGCATGAATCGATGTGTGAATGAAAGAATGAACAAAAGAAACATGTACACAGATCAGGCTGGTGCAGCCTAGTTCAGGCCTGAAGATGATTGGAGTTTTTATCTGGCTTTACTTGCCACACCTCTACCATATGGAACAATTTCCCTTTTCCTCAGTAAGTCATGCAGGTGATTTTTCAGCCTGAGGTACCAGCACATGTCTGTTCCCCTATCTGAATTGTCTTTCCTCATCCCCTCGATTCCCCTTTTCCCCTGGGTCTCAGTGTGTCAGGTCCTTTGAGAGCCTCCTCTGACCCCATGAGTCCCAAGATCTTACGGAATTGTGGCTTTGCCTGTCTGGATGCCTCAATAGACCGAGCCCGAGACAACGAGGCTGTGTCTGTCCTGTTCCTGCCTTGGCAGCACCTGCCATCACTGGCACAGGGACGTGCAACAGTCATTCCTTCTTTTAACAAACAGGTACAAGGGCCTGCTTTTGCCCCTCATCCCGAGGAGCTCACGGTCTGCTCGGGGAATTGGCTGAGCTCACAGTGTCACACAGGTTTGGCGAGGCCCGCAAGAGAGCCCAGCTTGGAGGTTTCCAAGGCCACACAAAGTGAGGCACAGCTCAGGTCAGAATGGCCGAAGCGGCTGTGGGATGAGAGTAATGGCCTCAGCTGGGGAGTTCTGGTTCCATATCAGGTGCTTCATACAGATTATCTCCCTGGCCCCTCACAGCAGTGCTGGAGGTTGGGAAACTGAGGCACAGAGGGTGCCCACTGCAAGACCTCGGCAGTACTTTTACTTCTTCATCTGCGAAGTGGGATTGGGGCCAGCTTCTTCCAGGATGAGAGGGCTGCCTGGGAGCAGGGTAGACACAGCTCCTGTCCTTATGGACGTGGTGAGGAAAACCACAGGTGGGGTCACCAGGTGACACAGGCAGAGGAGGTGCCTGTCAGATGTTTACTTGGGTTAGTTGCTTTGACTGTTGAGCTCCTTTGGGATG